AAATGTGGGCTGCCCCAAGCAACAGCCTGTTGGATCAAGCTCTCACAAGTCAAGCCTGACCCCGGGCCGGGCTTGGGAAGTAGAAGAACTCCCAGAACCCCATCAACGAGGTATCAAGCAGGTTTTTAGATATTGAAAAAGATGCCAATACTCAGTAGAAAGACACAAGATGAGCCTTATTTCCTCAACCACAGCGGCTTTGTTGACATCTGTGAGTACCTGTTTATTAATTCCGAAGCGCTACGAGGTTATTTACAACAATAATATTTTCACAACCTTGGGTTGTGAAATTTCCAAACTAGTAAACTGTTTAATGGATGTAAACAAAGCCCCATGAATGTTGCCAGATGCACAGGTCTCTTAGTGGATGCGTAAATGTTTGATGAATTGGGCCCCGCTCTAGAGGAGTTAATAAGATATACAGGAGTTAATAAGATATACAGGAGTTAATAAGATATACAGGAGTTAATAAGATATACAGGAGTTAATAAGATATACAGGAGTTAATAAGATATACAGGAGTTAATAAGATATACAGGAGTTAATAAGATATACAGGAGTTAATAAGATATACAGGAGTTAATAAGATATACAGGAGTTAATAAGATATACAGACACAAAGAGAAATCCTGACAATGAACTAACGAGGATGAAATCTCTCGTGTCATTTACACGAGTCTACCAGCTGTTCTGACGTTGCTTTCTCCTCATTCAAGCGTTACTTTCTCTCTGCTTTCTTTCTTTTCTCTAGTATACTTTACTTTTCTCCATTGTTGTTTTCTCTCCAAATGCTGTTTATCTCAGTTTTAGTGATGTTCGTTCTCCCTCTTCCCATCTATCTATCTCTCTCTCTCTCTCTCTCTCTCTCTCTCTCTCTCTCTCTCTCTCTCTCTCTCTCTCTCTCTCTCTCTCTCTCTCTCTCTCTCTCTCTCTCTCTCATAGCTTTTATTTAATAATATCTTCTTTCCTAAAACGGTACTCTCATTCGCAATATTGTTTTATATATTTGCCTGTAATTTACAAGGCCTATGAAACGGGGCGCAAAGACGAGAAAGGACGCTGTGACAGGGGGGTACCAGGACGCTGTGACAGGGGGGCACCAGGACGCTGTGACAGGGGGTACCAGGACGCTGTGACAGGGGGGGCACCAGGACGCTGTGACACGGGGGGTACCAGGACGCTGTGACAGGGGGGGCACCAGGACGCTGTGACAGGGGGGGCACCAGGACGCTGTGACAGGGGGGGCACCAGGACGCTGTGACAGGGGGGCACCAGGACGCTGTGACAGGGGGGCACCAGGACGCTGTGACAGGGGGCACCAGGACGCTGTGACAGGGGGCACCAGGACGCTGTGACAGGGGGCACCAGGACGCTGTGACAGGGGTGAGCACCAGGACGCTGTGACAGGGGGCACCAGGACGCTGTGACAGGGGGCACCAGGACGCTGTGACAGGGGGGGCACCAGGACGCTGTGACAGGGGAGGCATCAGGACGCTGTGACAGGGGGGCATCAGGACGCTGTGACAGGGGGGGCACCAGGACGCTGTGGCAGGGGGGCACCAGGACGCTGTGACAGGGGGGCACCAGGACGCTGTGACAGGGGGGCACCAGGACGCTGTGACAGGGGGGGGCACCAGGACGCTGTGGCAGGGGGGCACCAGGACGCTGTGACAGGGGGGCACCAGGACGCTGTGGCAGGGGGGCACCAGGACGCTGTGACAGGGGGGGCACCAGGACGCTGTGACAGGGGGGGCACCAGGACGCTGTGACAGGGGGGGGCACCAGGACGCTGTGACAGGGGGGCACCAGGACGCTGTGACAGGGGGAAGCACCAGGACGCTGTGACAGGGGGGGCACCAGGACGCTGTGACAGGGGGGCACCAGGACGCTGTGACAGGGGGCACCAGGACGCTGTGACAGGGGGGCACCAGGACGCTGTGACAGGGGGGGGGCACCAGGACGCTGTGACAGGGGGGCACCAGGACGCTGTGACAGGGGGGCACCAGGACGCTGTGACAGGGGGGCACCAGGACGCTGTGACAGGGGGCACCAGGACGCTGTGACAGGGGGGCACCAGGACGCTGTGACAGGGGGGCACCAGGACGCTGTGACAGGGGGGCACCAGGATGCTGTGACAGGGGGGCACCAGGACGCTGTGACAGGGGGGCACCAGGACGCTGTGACAGGGGGCAAAAGGACGCTGTGACAGGGGGGTACCAGGACGCTGTGACAGGGGGGCACCAGGACGCTGTGACAGGGGGGCACCAGGACGCTGTGCCAGGGGGGCACCAGGACGCTGTGACAGGGGGGCACCAGGACGCTGTGACAGGGGAGCACCAGGACGCTGTGGCAGGGGGGGCACCAGGACGCTGTGACAGGGGGGCACCAGGACGCTGTGACAGGGGGGGGGGCACCAGGACGCTGTGACAGGGGTGAGCACCAGGACGCTGTGACAGGGGGGCATCAGGACGCTGTGACAGGGGGGGCACCAGGACGCTGTGACAGGGGGGGCACCAGGACGTTGTGACAGGGGAGGGCGCGCACCAGGACATTCAATGCGCGTCCGTGACTATGAAAGAGAAAGTGGGCTGAGAAACAATAGGTCCACAACACAGAGTGACACTGCTCTTACACACACGCCTCTTTGACGGGCGGGAGAGAGCGTGTCAGGTCCCCGTCACTACAGGGGAGACGTATATAAAACCCCCTCATGGCACTATTTTCACAGCCAAGAGTTCAAGATGTCAAGGTTTCTGTCCGACGGCGTTTTATAATGGACGAATTAACCTCTTATGGCCATTTGTAAAAAAAAAAATGGGGTGGGGGAGGAGGAGGGGATACATATACAAACACATCCTGTGTATATAGATCACAAAATGTTTAACCTTACATGGCCATTTGCAGCATAGATATAATTATGTAAAAGGAACAAATCCATAAGGGCCGTGATGAGGGTTCGAACTTACGGCCGGGATGACCCCAGACTTATTCTCAGACTTAGATCCCGGAATTATATATGTACGATGGAATTTAGAATGTGATTTTTCAAAGAATTTAGAATTTGAATTTAGAAAGTAGAATTTTGAATTTGAATTTAGAAAGTAGAATTTTGAATTTGAATTTAGAAAGTAGAATTTTGAATTTGAATTTAGAAAGTAGAATTTTGAATTTGAATTTAGAGAGTAGAATTTTGAATTTGAATTTAGACAGTAGAATTTTGAATTTGAATTTAGAAAGTAGAATTTTGAATTTGAATTTAAAAAGTAGAATTTTGAATTTGAATTTAGAAAGTAGAATTTTGAATTTGAATTTAGAAAGTAGAATTTTGAATTTGAATTTAGAAAGTAGAATTTTGAATTTGAATTTAGAAAGTAGAATTTTGAATTTGAATTTAGAAAGTAGAATTTTGAATTTGAATTTAGAAAGTAGAATTTTGAATTTGAATTTAGAAAGTAGAATTTTGAATTTGAATTTAGAAAGTAGAATTTGATACTATTGCATTGGGACAAACCGGAAAAGATTGTGTAATTATGTTGCTAAAACAATCTAAACTCTCCTAGGCCTAACACACGCTATCTGAGGCCTAATATAGTACATATATGTGCTATACTAGGCCTAGGAATATTTATGTTAACCTTTTAGCTTGATTTTCCGGACTCTTATAAAGTTAATAGTACCAAATTCTACTATATAATTGTTCACTACGACAATATATGCACGTTGGTCCACTACGTCAATATATGCACGTTGGTCCACTACGACAATATATGCACGTTGTCCACTACGTCAATATATGCACGTTGGTCCACTACGACAATATATGCACGTTGTCCACTACGTCAATATATGCACGTTGGTCCACTACGTCAATATATACACGTTGGTCCACTACGTCAATATATGCACGTTGGTCCACTACGTCAATATATGCACGTTGTCCACTACGTCAATATATACACGTTGGTCCACACAGCTACAAAAAGTACTATGCAAACATGGAGGACGGGTTGAATAGAAGACGCAGGATCCCAGCTCTTTTCTGCTCTATAGTCTACACTTTCTGGTCTACACTGATTTGTGGGACCAATTACCGCGTAACGTGGTGGAGGGATCCCTCGATTGTTTCAAGCGAGGGTTGGACATGTGTATGAGTGGGATTGGGTGGTTATAGTAGGAGCTGCCTCGTTTGGGCCAATAGGCCTTCTGCAGTTGCCTTTGTTCTTATGTTCTTATGAGGCAAGAGATTTTGACTCCTTACCCTTAAAGTTCCTCATGCCTAGTGTAACCGTCTATTATTTGACGTAACCACTTATGAAACCTGTACATCTCTCAATAATGATTAGTTTACTTATATTTAGCAGTTTACGAGCTTCTATGCTTCCCAACTCAAGGTTATTATTTGTATAAATAATAACTTGGGAGCGTCGGAGTGCTTCCGAGCTCATAGACTGTTTAATAAATGTAAACAATGCCGCCATGATTGAGATACGATGGTTTCGTATTGGGTTGCGGAACTGCTTGGTGAATCTTGGTCCAGCAACCTAACCTGTAAACATTCAACCATAGTATAGTCATAAATCATACTCCCTCAACAAATTATCCACTTTATAAACACCAGGATCGATCTTCATTCGTCATAGTATCCATAGTTTACGAGGATAACTTTCAATTCTCGAGATCGGCCTTTAGTTTCAGATATAGGCTCTCAATTACATATATCGTTGTTTAATTCCAGAGATCAGACATTAATTCCAGATATCGGCTGTCAATTCAAAATATCGGCCCTCAATTCTAGATATCGGCTCTAAATTCCATATATCGGCCCTCAATTACATAAATGAGCGCTCATTTCCAGATAAGGGGCCCTCAATTTCCAAGATAATCCCTCAGTTCCAAGGAGACGTTCTCGGTTCCAAAGAAAAGCTCTCTACTGTCGAGAGTTACACATTCACAGCATGTTGTCTGCATCCAAGAACCATTAGGAGGGGGGGTTCCCTTACCTTGTAGCCTGGGCCGAGGCGGTGCATGGCGCAGACCTGGTGGGCGGTCAGGGCTTCAGAGAAGAGGTAGACGGCGCTCATCTGGCCGCAGAACACCCGCTCTTCGTCCAGCTCCGGCGTCGCCCCAATGTAGCACTTGTCCCACGTCTGTCAGGGAGAACATGGAAGTAATAGACATTACTCTCTCTGTTGCGCTCTCTCTCTCTCTCTCTCTCTTTGTTTAACCCCTTAAAATGCTAAGCTATTAAAAAGGCCTACATCCAAATACAAATGGACATGAAACATTTGAAATTAAATCCTACTGGATTATCCAGTAAGATTTCAGTAAATCTGGCTACTGGAGTAAGGATTAAGAGGACGTGTAAGGATTAAGAGGACGACCACAGGTTGCTACAGTCTTTCCTGCTTGGTGCTTTTCTTTGATACACTTTGAAAGATCTTGCAGCTATGGAAAGGATTCCAGTTGCATTTGCAATAGCTAAAGACAGACGAGGAAGCTAACAGCAGGTTTGTAGGCTAATACACTAGTAGGTCAGTATGCTAAAAGTAGGTCAGCAGGCTTAGAGATCAGAAAAGCTAACTGTAGCTCAGGAAGCTAAACATAGAACCAAGGGCTATAAAATACATCAGAGGGATAAATGCTGATCAATAAGCTAAAATTAGGTAAAAACCTAAAAGTTAATCAAGAATTTAAAAGTAGGTCTGGAACCTAAATGGAGATCAAGAAACTAAAAATAGGTCAGAAATAAGGTTTCATATAGTTAATCTATGTTTTTTGTATACTTTTTTTTATAAAGTTAATTTAGGTTTTCATAAAGTTAATCAGGAATAAGGTTTTCAGAAAGTGAATAATTGAATATAGGTAAGGAGGGGGAAGGACTCGTTCAAAATAAGAACATAACGAATTTTTTAGAAAATTACATGATAGATCGAATTAGGAACGGTCATGCTGAAATAGGTACATGTTTGTTGGTTTATTGAGTGTTGTATTTGGTATACAATAGTTAACTCAGGGAAATGTCTGATTAAGAAGTGGCACATGAACATTAGTTTAAACCTGATTGGTTTAGAGATGTTTTGTTTAGGTCATGTACGTTGGCTAGGCTAAGATGAGTTGGTCTAAGCTGGGTTTAAGATAATGGGTTGAGTTAATTGGTTCTATGTTTATTGACGTGTATTTTTCTGGACAATTTGTATAAAGTTACTTATGACTTCAGCACACTTTATCCACAAGCTCCTAAGGCTGCTGAGACTGGCTCACAAGGTTCAACACAGCAGTCATGTCACCACACACACAATACTCACGTCATTGGTGGAGACGAGCCAGGTCATGTCAGTTGCTGAGGCCAGCTGGCCGTTGACGAAGACCTTAATCTCGCTCTTGCTCCACCTGTTGTAGATGTACACCACGGCCACCATGTACCACTGCAACCACAATGTTCTTCATTACTACTTAATACTTTACATCTACTGATTAATGTAATGGAATTTACAACATGTAATTAACCTCCAAAAAAAATACCTCTCGATATTATCTTTTTAAAACTAACCTAAACCAAACTCTAAATTCTAGTCTCTTAAAACTACGATATTATACTCAATCTCTTAAACCAAAACTACAATTATCATATTATAATTATTTGTTAAAATTACAATTCATTTTTACCCTTTAAAATGAAGATTTATGACAACTATTGGGTGTAATGTTATTACATGAGAGTTGTCCTGGGAGGTATTCCCGGGCTCCTCTCCTACACAATTAAAGACCTGGGTAAATAGTGCCTTGGAAACAGAGTTGTTGATTTATGAGAGAAATTACGGGTAACAATGTGAGATCCCTGATTGTTTCCCTTTATCCGGGACTCACTCTCTCTCATATATATATATATATATATATATATATATATATATATATATATATATATATATATATATATATGTCGTACCTAGTAGCCAGAACTCACTTTTCAGCCTACAATGCAAGGCCCGATTTGCCTAATAAGCCAAGTTTTCATGAATTAATATATTTTCTCTAATTTTTTTCTTATGAAATGATAAAGCAACCCATTTCATTATGTAAGAGGTCAATTTTTTTTTATTGGAGTTAAAATTAACATAGATATATGACCGAACCTAACCAACCCTACCTAACCTAACCTAACCTATCTTTATAGGTTAGGTTAGGTTAGGTAGCCGAAAAAGTTAGGTTAGGTTAGGTTAGGTTGGTTAGGTAGTCGAAAAGCAATTAATTCATGAAAACTTGGCTTATTAGGCAACTCGGGCCTTGCATAGTAGGCTCAGAAGTGAGTTCTGGCTACTAGGTACGACATATATATATATGAATATATATATATGACAATGTCAGACCACGGAGGAAAATGAAACAGGAATTTCCTTAAGTACTTTCGTATATTAAATACATCTTTAGAAGGAATCTTGATTCCTTCTGAAGATGTATTTAATATACGAAAGTACTTAAGGAAATTCCTGTTTCATTTTCCTCCGTGGTCTGACATTGTCATATATATATATTCATATGTATATATATATATATATATATATATATATATATATATATATATATATATATACGTGTAATTCAAGCAAATATATCAACTTAATGTATTACGTCACCCGTATTGGATATCCGCCTCCCCTCCCCCCCTACCAGAAAAACCAAAACTAGAGAATGACCAAAGGATTTGCAACAAGGTCCTTCAAGGTCCATGAAATGCTGAGGAAACTGAACTATGAGAAAAGATTTAGGAAAAGAGATCTCGTCACACCGGCGAGACGAAAAAAAATGGGGAGGCATGATCGCGACATACCAAATTTTAAGCAGAACACGAGGGGAACCTGGATGGACACAAGTGACGGCAAGAAAGAATCAGGCATGTCAGAACTTCTTTAGCATAAGATTTGTTTAGAAATGTTAAATTAGATGAAGGTTTCGAAGCCACTAAATACACAATTAACAATTTTGGAATTATATAAGAGACAGTAGGAAATTAAATTACTAATGGTTTGATAGATGGAGCCTACAAGCTGAAGCTTGATTCTAAAACCCACATTCACTTGATATACTCGCGACAAAACAATTACAGTAGCTGTCTCCTGTTGAAAATAACCCAAGATTTTTTCTGCACGATTCCTGACGCCACCAAAGGCACACTTGTAAATAACGTGTTATCTACAGCAGCTGAAAAAAAAATGGTGAGCGTATTCCATGAAAATTACACAATACAGCACAAGACCAGCGCCGTCGTCAACTACCAGGGGGTGAGACGAATTAGTAGAAAGTAGTACTGAAAATAACTGCAAGTGAGCAGGTCCCACTGTGACAACACCGGTGGCGACGGCGTCTCCATGGGTCCCGGCGTGGAAAACATTGTGACTATTGGGAAAATAGCCGAGGCTGTGTAGGTTTTTTCCCTCATTTACATCGAAAATCCTTCTGCTGTGTGTATGTGTAGTGGGGGGGGGGGGGTGGGGGGGGGGGGGGAGCGGGCAATCACACCCAAAAAATAGCCCCGGCGGTGAAGGTTGGTCAGCAGCAACACATAAGCTATGAGAAGCGTGGAGGTGGTGAGACTAACATCATGTGGTAGAGACAATAACACCTGTTGCAACGGTACCACAGGTGTAACCGTGCAGGTGGTATGGGTATGTGATGATACGGATACAGCGGTACCCCCTGACGGTGCAGCTGTGTCTGGCCTCTCCCTCACAGGCTGCTGTACCCCCCGACGGTGCAGCTGTGTCTGGCCACTTCCTCACAGGCTGCTGTACCCTCTGACGGTGCAGCTGTGTCTGGCTACCCCTCACAGGCTGCTGTACCCCTCGACGGTGCAGCTGTGTCTGGCCTCCCCTCACAGGCTGCTGTACCTCCTGACGGTGCAGCTGTGTTTGGCCTCCCCTCACAGGCTGCTGTACCCCCTGACGGTGCAGCTGTGTCCGGCCTCCCCTCACAGGCTGCTGTACCCCCTGACGGTGCAGCTGTGTCCGGCCTCCCCTCACAGGCTGCTATACCCCCTGACGGTGCAGCTGTGTCTGGCCACCCATCACAGGCTGCTATACCCCTGACGGTGCAGCTGTGTCCGGCCTCCCCTCACAGGCTGCTGTACCTCCTGACGGTGCAGCTGTGTCTGGCCTCCCCTCACAGGCTGCTATACCCCCTGACGGTGCAGCTGTGTCTGGCCACCCATCACAGGCTGCTGTACCCCCTGACGGTGCAGCTGTGTCTGGCTACCCCTCACAGGCTGCTGTACCCCTCGACGGTGCAGCTGTGTCCGGCCTCCCCTCACAGGCTGCTGTACCCCCTGACGGTGCAGCTGTGTCTGGCCTCCCCTCACAGGCTGCTGTACGTCCTGACGGTGCAGCTGTGTCTGGCCTCCCCTCACAGGCTGCTGTACCTCCTGACGGTGCAGCTGTGTCTGGCCTCCCCTCACAGGCTGCTGTACCCCCTGACGGTGCAGCTGTGTCTGGCCTCCCCTCACAGGCTGCTGTACGTCCTGACGGTGCAGCTGTGTCTGGCCTCCCCTCACAGGCTGCTGTACCTCCTGACGGTGCAGCTGTGTCTGGCCTCCCCTCACAGGCTGCTGTACCTCCTGACGGTGCAGCTGTGTCCGGCCTCCCCTCACAGGCTGCTGTACCCCCTGACGGTGCAGCTGTGTCTGGCCTCCCCTCACAGGCTGCTATACCCCCTGACGGTGCAGCTGTGTCTGGCCTCCCCTCACAGGCTGCTGTACCACCTGACGGTGCAGCTGTGTCTGGCCTCCCCTCACAGGCTGCTGTACCTCCTGACGGTGCAGCTGTGTCTGGCCACCCATCACAGGCTGCTATACCCCCTGACGGTGCAGCTGTGTCTGGCCACCCATCACAGGCTGCTGTACCACCTGACGGTGCAGCTGTGTCCGGCCTCCCCTCACAGGCTGCTGTACCTCCTGACGGTGCAGCTGTGTCCGGCCTCCCCTCACAGGCTGCTGTACCTCCTGACGGTGCAGCTGTGTCTGGCCTCCCCTCACAGGCTGCTGTACCTCCTGACGGTGCAGCTGTGTCTGGCTACCCCTCACAGGCTGCTGTACCCCCTGACGGTGCAGCTGTGTCTGGCCTCCCCTCACAGGCTGCTATACCCCCTGACGGTGCAGCTGTGTCTGGCCTCCCCTCACAGGCTGCTGTACCTCCTGACGGTGCAGCTGTGTCTGGCCTCCCCTCACAGGCTGCTGTACCTCCTGACGGTGCAGCTGTGTCTGGCCTCCCCTCACAGGCTGCTGTACCTCCTGACGGTGCAGCTGTGTCTGGCCACCCATCACAGGCTGCTGTACCTCCTGACGGTGCAGCTGTGTCTGGCCTCCCCTCACAGGCTGCTATACCCCCTGACGGTGCAGCTGTGTCTGGCCTCCCCTCACAGGCTGCTGTACCTCCTGACGGTGCAGCTGTGTCTGGCCTCCCCTCACAGGCTGCTATACCCCCTGACGGTGCAGCTGTGTCTGGCCACCCATCACAGGCTGCTGTACCACCTGACGGTGCAGCTGTGTCTGGCCACCCATCACAGGCTGCTGTACCCCCTGACGGTGCAGCTGTGTCTGGCCTCCCCTCACAGGCTGCTATACCCCCTGACGGTGCAGCTGTGTCTGGCCACCCATCACAGGCTGCTGTACCACCTGACGGTGCAGCTGTGTCCGGCCTCCCCTCACAGGCTGCTGTACCCCCCTGACGGTGCAGCTGTGTCCGGCCACCCATCACAGGCTGCTGTACCACCTGACGGTGCAGCTGTGTCCGGCCTTCCCTCACCTACACCTATATTATATATATATATATATATATATATATATATATATATATATATATATATATATATGCCTAACCGTCCCTTAAAACAATCAAACAATCCCACAACTGTTATGTTACCCGGTAACTTGCTTCACCCATCAACAACCCAATTTCCATCAATATAAATCTAATTATTAAACTTTTTGCTAACCTTGCTAGCGTGGTTTCCAATTACAATCACTCGTGTGTACCAAGAAGCGCTGTTGATTATCAGTAAGTATTCAAGAACTCACATTAAAAAGATTCAAATGTTCTTTCGTGCAAATATATTCTCTAAATATTATTTGCCAAGTCTAAGTGATTTCCTAATCAAGACACAGGCAATATAGACTTATCAATCCTTACTTCTTTCGTAAACATAATAACAACGAGGGGCTTGAGTGTAATTACTTATCTCTGTTCCTCGAATATTACACATTCTACCTTCCTTCAGATCAATACATATATTCAAAAGTTGTGTAGGTTATATTATATAGACTATACCTATGCATACGAGGAAACATTGAAGTTCTATGATGGGATTGAACTCGCAGCCTGGACTCGTCAGGAACACGCACTACTGACTGGATCATGATGATCGTGAGGAGTCCAGAGACGAGGGTTCAATCCCATCATACAGCATCTCATCATGGTCTAGTCGGCAGCGAGCGTGTCTGGGTAGTCCAGAGACGCAGGTTCGATTCCATTGTCCTCAATAGTTTCTGATAATTTAACCTTCTTGTGAAATCATTGTGTACCAATGTATATAGACCTGGAAGGTCCTAAATTTAACCTCCCCCCTTATGATTTATATATACCTTCTCCCTCTGCAAACTTCTCGAAGTCAAACCCAGGTTTAGTAACTGAACATGCAATGAAAAAGGCGCTTAGATAGCTAATTGTCAACGGGGCTTTCCCTCTATCTCCAGTGATGCATAACGGCTGGGTGGCGATGTTCTGCCCAAAACGCTTTGCGTAATAGTGGCTTTAGGCATGGTATGTACTAGGCTCTATCTATAAATCTATCAATTTTTGTAAAACCTCTTGTATGTATGTACCTTACCTGAATAAACATTTTATTTATTATTTATATATTTTCTGGTACGTCGCCAACACTCAAGTTCAGAGTACTAGCACAGTATGTCTGAATCATCAAGGATTAACAAATGGTCATTATTATGAACAGACAATTTGTCTCAATTATGGAAGCGTGGCAGGGATTACAGGTCACAGGTCTTTGGAGTATTAGATAATAGTGCCGAGAGGCCAGAATGGTTGGGCAACACTGCTCTACCAAGTCACCGCTACGGAGGATAAAGCTCGTTCCCGAATTGACACTAATCGTTACCATGTCTAATTTCAATATAAACATGAACAAATTGACCTGAAATACATGTCTTGAGATATGTCAATCTGAATAGTCGATCTCAAGACATCGTCTGGAAATAAAAAAAGTGAAAATCATGATGTGTACTGACCAGTGAAGAAGCTGAACCAATAATGTGACCAATCCCATTACATATCTATTCTGACGATATTTACTTAGAGTTAACTCAAGAGTATACTCACCTTCCTGGGTTGGAACTCATACTTGATGCAGTGTTGGTAGCCTTTGCCTTTGATCTTGAGAGAGGTGAGTACCAGGCAGTTACCAACGAAGTGCGCAGAGTACCCGACACCCTTACTTGTCTTGAAGCTGTGGAAGATAACACAATGGGTTTAGTGCCTGGGTATTTACAAATATTATAATACAATTAATTTAACACAATTCTTGAGTGTGTGTGATACACACAGTTGTGTGTGTGTCTTACAGTTTAGAGGCGGGACCAAAGAGCCAAAACTCAACCCCCGCAAGGACAAATAGGTGAGTACACACGGGACCTCGTTGCTGAGTGGACAGCGCTTGAGGGTTGTAGTCCTAATGGCCCGACTTCGATTCCCGGAGGAGGTGGAAACAAATAGGCAGAATTTCTTTTACCCTGATCCCCCTGTTCACTTAGCAGTAAATAGCTACCTAGGGATTTAAGACAGCTCCTACGGGCTGCTTTCTGGAGACGTGTGTGTGTGTGTGTGTGTGTGTTAAGAGAAATATATGTAGTAGATATAAGAGGAAAAATAGATTGGTTAGAAAGGCGGGGTCCAAGAGCTAATAGCTCGATTCTGCAGACATAAATAGTATATAGTAAATACAAATAGTACACACACACACACACACACACACACACACACACACACACACACACACACACACACACACACACACACACACACACACACACATTATTCAGTCAACAACAACCACAATGGCTCCAACAATTTTCGACAATAATATAATCAGTAAGTAACAACTGCATCCATCATTACATACTAAAAGCAATAATTTTTCCCTAGTGCTCTTTAATCCATCAACCACAATAACATAACATATCGTACATACCATTCACCTGGGCTGTATGGGTCTCGAACCCTGGACCCTAGGCTTGTGAGGCCGACACTCTATCATACACCCCAGGGAAATGGTAAGTTTATTTCCCCGGAAGTGTGGCTGACAATTTATATCGTACATTGTTACAACTTCTTTTCGCAAATTGTAACATTAAAAACTTCATTTTGTATAAAGGGTGATAAATTTTGTCACACAATCCAAGAACACTACACACTTCTCACTCTTAAAGAATGTAATAGACAAAACTTCTCACACTAAGGTGTATGTACCCATCTTACACCAACCAAGCGTAGGGTATATATATCACATCTCACACACTAACAAAACCTGGGGTATACATACCACTAAACACATTAACCAAGCCTGAGGTACAAAACGTCTCAAACCAACCAACCTAAGGGTATATATATATGCCACATCTCACACTAACCAAATATAAAATCCGTGTAAATATACACCAAATACACGCACACAATACATACACCGTCTCATACTATCAGGGCACCCAGCACATACACACGTCACAAGGTGTACAGTTATATTTAGGTGATAATCTGGCCGTAAACGAACAGGCAGCAATTGCGCGCGCGCGCACACACACACACACACACACACACACACACACACACACACACACACACACACACACACACACACACACACGCACGCACGCACACACACAGCTTTCACTCAACTCAATCTTGTCAAATTCGTTACGGGATAACAGGTGCAACAATTCCCACACCAGAAGCGAATTGTGTGCATGTGTGTATTTACTATTTGTACCTGCACAATCGAGCTATTAGCTTTTTGTCTCCGCCCTTTTAACCGCCGGTTGTCTAATAACCGACTTTTCTCTTATCATATCTGCTACATATATTGCTCTCTCTCTGTCTCACATATCCCCCAGGATGTAGCCTGTAACAGCTAGCTCCTAGGTGCCTACTGAATGCTAGGTGAACCGATGCATCAAGAGAGAAAACAGCCCATTTGTCAGTCTCATCTCGTGCCAGAGGCTAATTGCGTAAGTTGTAATTTTAACACATTGTGTACTATCTACCACCTGTCTTATATGTTAAGCATGTAGTAAACTTCCCTCACAACAACAACCAATGCTTACAGGTGAGTGCGCGTAATTCAGGACGACTGGACCCTGTTACGCAACTAAATTAGACGTTTCAATAAGTGTTGCCGCACCATGCGTCTCTCGGCTCTACTGTAGCAGGAAGCGTAGCAAACGGTTATTTTATGCCTGGAGAAGGTCTTCCTGGTTCACAGCTGATGGTAATGTACAAGTATTTTTACTATATTTACTACTGCTTTTGTTACATGTCTCCGTTTCAGGTTTTTGTAAGTGTAGGACAAGAAGTGTCCGCAAACGTATTGCTTGAGAATAAAATACAACATGCAATCACACACAAAAACACACAGAGATACGACTAATTCCTTACCCCTACAAGGCGTAAGGAATTTATCAGGGTTGTTGATTTGTGGAACCAATTACCGCTTAACGTGGTGGAGGTGGGGTCCCTCGATTGTTTCAAACGTGGGATGGACATGTATATGAGTGGGATTGGGTGGTTATAAATAGGAGCTGCCTCATATGGGGCAACAGGCCTTCTGCAGTTACCTTTGTTCTTATGTTCTTATACACACATATACACGCACGTTACTCGCAAACCTTAGATAAGACTTGCTGTTACACCACCAGTTAATGTTTCAAGTTTCTAAACCTCTTATGCTGGCAGACACTTCCCTACAAACAAAAGTTTGACATTCCATCACAAATTTCAAATTTCTTATGGTTAAATTTGCCCAAATAATAATAAAACACAAAGACGCTGTTCTATTCCATTATTGAATGGATAAAAAATACATTAATACGCATTACTGTTATAAATTCTACGCAGCCTATCTTGTTATGATCAAATTCTGAAATTTCCAAACTGAATCTATCTAACGAGGATAAGTAAACCACCCATGAAACATGGTACAACAACTTCAATCAAGAATGCGAAAACATGTATAGTGCTGTGGAAAGACAATAAGTGGCGTCAGTTTATGGTGGGTAATGATAGTGCTGGCGTGAAGCCTAGCGTTGGGTCTTTCAGCGCGAGAGCAACTGGAAATGTCGAGAAGAGGTTTATGATTGAAAATTAACATTATGAATATTACAAAAGATGAAACATTTTTAAATCCTCCGGGCTGATGATGCAAAATATTTTCATACAGTAAGCCAGGAGAGAGGGAACCAAGAAGCCCCTGCCACACCTGGCAGGGCATGTATGAAAGCAAAGAAAGTGAACAAAAGGGCGTGGAGGAACTTCCGAAATAACAGAACACCAGAAAGCCGAGAGAGATGCCAGAGAACCAGGAACGAGTATGTTAGTGTGAGAAGAGAAGCTGAGAAAAAGTATGGAAATGATATAGCTAATAAAGCCAAGACCGAACCAAAGGTACTCCGTAGTCACACACACTCATCAGGAGGAAAACAACAATGAAGGAACAGGTGATGAAACTTAGAACGGGTGAGGACAGGTACACACAGAATGACAAAGAGGTGTGTGAAGAACTCAACAAGAGGTTCCAGGAGGTCTTCACAATAGAACAAGGAGAGGTCACTGCGCTAGGAAAGGTTGCAGTAAACCAGGCGGCCTTGGAAGAGTTCGAAATTACAAGAGATGAGGTCAAGAGGCATCTGTTGGATCTGGATGTGAGAAAAGCTGTTTGTCCAGACGGGATCTCACCATGGGTATTGAAAGAGTGTGCAGGAGCATTTTGCTTGCCACTCTCCATAGTGTATAGTTACTGCAGACGGAAGACCTACCAGAAATATGGAAGACGACTAATGTGGTCCCAATATACAAAAAGGGTGACAGACAAGAGGCACTGAGCTACAGGCTAGTGTCCTTAACTTGAATACCATCACTTAGCGGGCTGGAAAAACTTAAACCGGAAAAGATTCAGAGGTTTGCCACCAGACTAGTACCCGAACTGAGGGGTTTGAGCTACGAGGAGAGACTACGGGAATTAAACCTCACGTCACTGGGAGACACAAGAGTTAGAGGGGACATGATCACCACATACAAGATTCTCAGAGGAATTGATAAGGTAGATAAAGACAGACTATATAACACAAGGGGCACACACACTAGGGGACACAGGTGGAAATTGAGTGCCCAAATGAGCCATAGAGACGTTAGAAAGAACTTTTTCAGTGTCAGAGTAGTAGACAAATGGAATGCATTAGGAAGTGATGTGGTGGAGGCTGACTCCATACACAGCTTCAAGTGTAGATATGATAGAGCCCAATAGGCTCAGGAATCTGTACACCAGTTGATTGACAGTTGAGAGGCGGGACCAAAGTGCCTTAGCTCAATCCCCACAAGCACAACTAGGTAAGTACACACACTAAATAAGATATCCAGTTATGCCCAGGTCTCTTCCCCTCCCTCCCCATCTCTACTACATTTCCCAAACATCCATCTACTCCCCCTCTCTCCTTCCCAACATACCCACTCTCCACATTTCTCCCCTCTTACCTTCCCCTCCCCCCTTCTCCTACCCTCTTCACTCCCGCCCCCCCCCATTCTCACCTACCATCTCTTTCAATGTCTCCCCTCCCCTTCTCTCTCTCTCCCTCTCCCATTCTCTCTCTCTCCCTCTCTCCCTCTCTCCCTCTCTCCCTCTCTCCCTCCCTCTCTCCCTCTCTCCCTCCCTCTCTCCCTCTCTCCCTCTCTCCCTCCCTCTCTCCCTCTCTCCCTCTCTCCCTCTCTCTCTCCCTCTCTCCCTCCCTCTCTCCCTCCCTCTCTCCCTCTCTCCCTCTCTCTCTCTCTCTCTCTCTCTCTCTCTCTCCCTCCCTCCCTCCCTCCCTCCCTCCCTCCCTCCCTCCCTCCCTCCCTTCCCTCTCCCACTCCCTCCCTCCCTTCCCTCTCCCACTCCTTCCCTCCCACTAACTACCTCCCTCCCTCTCTCTCCCTCTCTGTCGTTGCCTCCCTCCCTCTCCCTCCTTTCCCAAAGAAAAACCTTTATAATTTATGAAATATATAACAAATACACAGTTTCCCCTGTGAGGGATTTGTAAGGTGAGGGCCTCAGGTGGCTGGGCTGTGTGAGAATTTTTATTTTAAATTTCGCGGACATCAGTGCAGAATTTTTACAATATAGCAAGACAAATTTGTCCCTCCCTCCCCCCATTCCCTCACTAGCATATCCCCTCCTCAACTAACACCCCTACCCCTACTATTC